GAATATGGCTGATTTCTGATCAGAGCAGTCCAAACATTCTTCCGTGCAGACCAGAGCACTCTCAACACACCACACATGAATATCTGATAACATTGTGCTTAGAGCCTTTATGGTAACCAGTGACATCCTTGATGCTGCCAGAAGAGAAGAATTGGGTCAAAAATTGGCATAACAATCTCATCGTGTGAACCAGGCCTAAGATGATGTCTTTTGATGGGATAACTCTGGAGGACCAAACATTTTTCAGACTGACTCTAGACAAGGGTGTATTTTCTCTCTACCAGTGATGGGGCTCCTGTGCCTCTGTTGCTACTCATGTAATGGTCAATAGCACCAACTGAACAACACCTACCAAGGATGAGGGTAGCTCTGCATTTATTTAGGCCTGAAGTCTGTATATAACAATAAATATTTCATCCACTTACAGGTACTTCTCAAAAATTTTGCATATTGTGAAAAAGTTCATTATTTTCTGTAATGTGATAAACATTAGTCTTTCATAAATATTAGAATCATTACACACAACTGAAGTAGCTCAAGCCTTTTATTGTTTCTAATATTGATGATTGTGGCATACAGCTCATGAAAACCCAAAATTCTTATCTCATAAAAATAGCATATGCCATCCGACCAATAAAAGAAAAGTGTTTTTAATACAAAAAAAGTCAACCTTCAAATAATTATGTTCAGTTATGCACTCAATACTTGGTCGGGAATCCTTCTGCAGAAATGACTGCTTCAATGCGGCGTGGCATGGAGGCAATCAGCCTGTGGCACTGCTGAGGTGTTATGGAGGCCCAGGATGCTTCGATAGCGGCCTTGAGCTCATCCAGAGTGTTGGGTCTTGAGTCTCTCAACTTTCTCTTCGCAATATCCCACAGATTCTCTATGGGGTTCAGGTCAGGAGAGTTGAAAGGCCAATTGAGCACAGTAATACCATGGTCAGTAAACCGTTTACCAGTGGTTTTGGCACTGTGAGCAGGTGCCACATTGTGCTGAAAAATGAAATCTTCATCTCCATAAAGCTTTTCAGCAGATGGAAGCGTGAAGTGCTCCGAAATCTCCTGATGGCTAGCTGCATTGACCCTGCCCTTGATCAAACACAGTGGACCAACACCAGCAGCTGACATGGCACCCCAGACCATCACTGACTGTGGGTACTTGACACTGGACTTCAGGCATTTTGGCATTTCCCTCTGCCCAGTCTTCCTCCAGACTCTGGCACCTTGATTTCTGAATGACATGCAACATTTGCTTTCATCTGAAAAAAGTACTTTGGACCACTGAGCAACAGTCCAGTGCTGCTTCTCTGTAGCCCAGGTCAGGCGCTTCTGCCGCTGTTTCTGGTTCAAAAGTGGTTTGACCTGGGGAATGCGGCACCTGTAGCCCATTTCCTGCACACGCCTGTACACAGTGGCTCTGGATGTTTCTACTCCAGACTCAGTCCACTGCTTCCACAAGTCCCCCAAGGTCTGGAATCGGTCCTCCACAATCTTCCTCAGGGTCCGGTCACCTCTTCTTGTTGTGCAGCGCTTTCTGCCACACTTTTTCCTTCCCACAGACTTCCCACTGAGGTGCCTTGATACAGCACTCTGGGAACAGCCTATTCGTTCAGAAATTTCTTTCTTTGTCTTACCCTCTTGCTTGAGGGTGTCAATGATGGGCTTCTGGACAGCAGTCAGGTCGGCAGTCTTACCCATGATTGCGGTTTTGAGTAATGAACCAGGCTGGGAGTTTTTAAAAGCCTCAGGAATCTTTTGCAGGTGTTTAGAGTTAATTAGTTGACTCAATTGATTAGGTTAATAGCTCGTTTAGAGAACCTTTTCATGATATGCTAATTTTTTGAGATAGGAATTTTGGGTTTTCATGAGCTGTATGCCAAAATCATCAATATTAGAAACAATAAAAGGCTTGAACTACTTCAGTTGTGTGTAATGGATCTAATATATATGAAAGTCTAATGTTTATCAGTACACTACAGAAAATAATGAACTTCATCACAATATGCTAATTGTTTGAGAAGGACCTGATACTGTTGACTACTCCTTTTGATCTCAAAGAAATGGAAAAAAAAATACATGTTGATTCCATCCCTGATCAGACAAAGGATGAATACTCACCACTCCTGGAGGACCAGGGTATCCTTGGTCACCTTTTTGACCCTGTGGAGAGGTAGAGAGGTAGAGTCAAACAGTCTGTTACCCTTTGAACTGTTTTAATATCTTAAGTGATCAGAAGAAACCCACCCTATCTCCATCCCTGCCTGGAAGACCGGGTAGACCCAGATCCCCTTTGATTCCCTGGTAGTCGGAGAAAGTTGCAGGTGTAAATAAGACGTCCTAGGAAGGCATACCTGTTACAAGGCTTGTATTTGTTGGTGTAACTCACCGGTGCTCCAGGAGGTCCCACATCCCCATCTTTGCCTGGCTTTCCCTTTTGGGCAAATGAAAAGTGCTATCAGATTTTTTTAGGTCAAGCAACCCTTTGTGTTCAGTCTATTGTTACATATACATGTTTAGTTGTTTGGAAACACAAATAACCAATAATCAGCCAATCGCATGTCAGCAGTTTAGGCAAAGGTCATAGTTGACTGAAAAGGTACTTACTCGCTTGCCTTGCTCTCCTGGTTCTCCCTTCTCTCCCTTCTGTCCATTATAAGGACCCTGCAATCACAAGGTTACCAAGGTAAGCTATACGGTTTTATTACAAATAATAATAATTATTGTTGTTGTTATTGGGCTTCTTCAAGTAATTTGGCAGACAAATACTTACAGGTGGACCTGGAAATCCGGGGTCACCTGGAGGACCAGGTGGTCCTGTGTTACCCTTCAAAAAGGGAAACAATAGCTTGTAATAAACTGTCATTTGTTTAAAATATTTTATTGTTTCCAAACTGACTAATCTTACTCTATCGACAAAACACTTCTCTGCTCAAAATACTTCAAATGTTGTTAATTAACAGTTGTGTTGTAAACGCACTGATATCCTGTCTAACAGCTGCCTTGATATGTTTATAGATGCTGCTCTCTGCTGCCACCATGTGGCTGCAGTGGATTGATTATCCTATTTTACTTGGTTGTGTCCCAATCCAATTTATTGATAAAGCACTAATAAAAAACAACGACGTGTAACAAAGTGTTGTACAATAAAAACCTGTAAAAAAGAAAGCAATAATAGAGTGGCAACATTATAAAAGTCACAGTAAAAACCAACCGCTTCAGTCAAAGGCCAGAGAACAAAGGTGAGTCTTCAGGTGCGAGTTAAACACAGTAAGAGACAGCCTGCTTTATATTTGTAGGCAGCTTGTTCTACCAAAAAGGTTCTTTCTCCTCTGCGTTTGCGTTTCGTCTGGGGAACCACGACCAGCCCACGCTCAGCTGATCGAAGAGACCGCACAGGCACACGCAAAGTCAGAAACTCCAACAGGTGTGCAGAAAAAGGCTATTTTGGCATTTAAAAACAAATAATATAATTTGGGTACCTGACGGAGCCAGCGAAGGGCTGATAGGAACTGTGAGATATGGTCGTGTGTGCGAGTACCAGTTAAAAGACGCGCGGCAGCATTCTGGACATGTGGAGTTGTGAAGCATTTTTAATGTGAAGCTTGGAAAAAAAACTATCTACCGCTGATGTGGGGGTCCATCTGATCAACCCTGTATTTATTTATTTGGTGGTTTAATTACTACATCACAGTTACCATAGAACACATTCTGATCTATTATGCAGTCCCAGTTTCTTTCAGGTCGTAGCTAAATACAAGTGGAATGAAACCAACTGCTGCCAATCACGTTCCCCCCCCCTTAGAAACAAGTCCTGACTTACTACTACTACTGCAGTAATATAACATTACCTTTTCCCCTCTTTGAATCTCTGTCTCTTGTGGTTTCTTCTGTTCTGATCCAGAACCACCTGGAGGACCAGGAGGTCCTTGTAAGCCTGGCTCTCCCTGGGAAAGACATAAAAGGGTTTAGGAAACGTTTGTGGCGAAAAGGAGTCTTTTTATAACTCATGTGGCACCTTCTCTCCTTTGGGTCCTTCAAATTTCAACCCCATGTTTCCCTGTTGAGGTAAGTAGACGTGTGGTCACAATAAACAACATGTCATACGTTAAACACAACTCTTTCATTAAATCAGGTTTCATTAGAAGCTATTTTACCTTAGGCCCAGGTGGTCCGGGAGGACCTGGACGACCCTGCAAAACCACAGCCAAATAGTTCAGTGTGAATCAGTCTGATGTTGTTAACATGTGATATTATTGTTCTGTAGCAGCCTTTTATTTACCGTGAAGCCTGGGGGGCCTGGAGGGCCGATCGGTCCTTGTAAACCTGAAGGTCCAGGACGACCCTGTTAGATAAACACCTTCAATGTAATTCTTACTCATGTGGGGGTGCTCGTTATGTCCATGTGCTCGATTTGGAGTCAGTTCAGTTGTTTTGAATTGATGTATTGCTTCTCATACAAGAATCTGTGAGAAGGTCCAAGCTCTTAAACGGTAGTGAGTGATCAGTTTATTCAAGTCCAACTCTCTCTCTCTCTCTCTCTCTCTCTCTCTCTCTCTCTCTCTCTCTCTCTCTCTCTCTCTCCTTTTGTTGAAGGTGGGAAATGATATAAACCATCAATCGGATTTATTCTCACAGCTCTGACTGTCCTTAGAAATGAAACTTTGAAATAATCATAAATGAGAAAAATAGAATATTTTTACTTACCGGTGACCCCGGTAATCCAGGTAACCCTATCGCTCCTTTCTCTCCAAAACGATTGGTGGAAATCACATCACCTGGGTCACCCTGAGGAGGGGAAAACCAATTCAGTCACAGTCGTGCACAAGCATTATTTTAATGCTGCACATGTGATCATCTGAGATTATACTTTCAATTTCTGTAAGAGTGCTATGGCTTTTTGTAAACTTTGGGAAAACACCCCCATCTGGTGGCAAAAAACACAAAATGCAGAATTTCTCTGAAATTCCATAAAAATCAACTTTTAAGAACAGCTTCCATTAAAAAAATGTCACGAGAAACTCATTAAACATGGATTAAATTAATAATTACAAATATTTAAATTATTATTTTGGTGCTTTTATATTATTGCAATTTTATAAAATAACCTAAATTGTATTAAACAAAATGACCTACTAAACATATTTAATAAATCTGGGACTTTCCATGAAATGTTAATAATCATATTTAAAATGTTCTAAAACATCTTAATAAATAATTAACAAACTAATGTATCGTTTTTTTTATATTTCTGCAACAATACCTTATTTGTTTTTTTTAATTTGCTTCATCAAATCTATTTGTTGTGAAATATTTGATTAGTCACAATTATTGTTGCTTCATTGGTGATTTTATTTAAAACTTACTATACCTCCCCTTCTCATTTCTCCACAGGATGACAGCTTTACTGGGAAATTAGATACGGGAGCAACAATATCTCTGATTGTATTCTAATAGGTAAATAAAGTTAAAAGCAACAAAATGAGCCCGTAAAGCCAAGAAAAATAACTCACTGTAACAATTTAGGATCCCAAATGGGACCAGAATAATGTTTAGTTTCAGATAATCTCATTTTCAAAAGATGAAGTGGTTCCTGAAGGTTATGTTTTACACTTACCTTTGGTCCTGGAAGACCAGGTGGACCCTACAAAAGAGGATAAAGACAAACTTACATTGGCAGAACTGAAGAAAAGAGATATGAGATCTGGCTGAATCATGGCTTTCCACATAAATCCATAAGGACAAGTTCACATCACAAAGTGAGAGCTCAGCATTGTGACCCAGAACCTTCTGACCCTGGAACACCAACACCTCCCTTGTTGTGTGTCCATATATATGTATGTATAGTAAACAAATCCCATTGCGATATTTTCATTTTTATGTGATATTTTCTAAACCTGTGACATTAAAAAACATTTCAACAGATGACTTGGATAGTACTTTAAGTTCCTGCCATCTGGCTGACTTAACTCATCGCTGTGTTGCATCTTGCAATTTTTTTGCACGCATCTAGACAGTCACACGTAGCGCATTGCGATGCCTCTGCTTAAACGCAACATCGTGCAGCTCTGTCCCACCTAAGCCTAGATTATACTGCTCTGTCGGCAAGCTCACACACATAATTAATGATGGAGACGTCATCGTTTGTATCTCAGTGATGATGAATTCAGGACAGAAGAGGGCGTAGACCTTTTCTGGCCGGTCTGCCTACTGCTGCAGTGATGTCTTTGATCAAAGACAGTTTATTTACTTCAACAAGAAGTAGAAAGTTTAGATTATTATGTTGATATTGGAATTTGTCATTGTTCCTACTTTGTTAAACGAAGCTTGTAAACGCCAATCAAACTCAGGGAGCAATGGCTGACTGAGAGCCAGTTTTCATTGAGCTGAATTGCTTGATCTCATTAAAGTGGGATCAATGGAGACAGCGCCCACCACTGTGGTTGACTGACCAATCACAGACAGGTGCTCGCCACTGCGTTTGACGGATTGTTAAAAAATTGGGCTCCTCTCCGTCTGTCCTTGCGTGTCTGTCGGAGAGCCCTTGCATGAACAGATGATGGCACTGCGTGTCTGCAGGCAGAGAAGAAGAAACTAGGCTTCAGATCTGACCTAAGGGTAGCTTGGACAGCTGTCTCAGTTCCTTCCTGCACACGTTCCCATACGACTGGTCGTTGAAAATGCTGTAGATACTAAACCAACCTTTAGCTGGAGATAGCCACCAGCCCCCCTCGACCCATATGAACAAGCGGGTAAAGAAAATGGATGGATGGTTATATTAACCAACCAGAAGTGCTAAGCAAGTCTCCATCACCCAGAAGAAAATTTCAATATGACCTCCAACCAGGGTTTTTTCTGGGTTAAATACAGTATGTACCTCTATAACCCGCTTTGGCCCTGGTACCTGTAGTGGGAACAGATCGGGAATGGCCCCAGGAACCTACCCTGGGATAGGTTCCTGATGGTGGAGCGGGCCTAAATATCCAACAGCTATTAAAATCAAACAGTGGTGTTAGCTCCTTGTTATATTCAGATTCTAAAATAAAAGAAGAAAATGATTCTGAAGGCAGATGTTTGTAGAAGCAGCGCCGTACAGAAAGCTCTGACACAGCTTGATGTTCCTCGTTGTCTCATTGAACAACTGAGTCAAGCCCAAAGAGTTTCTTATGATTCGTCCACGAGCAAAGATCTAGGGCCAGCTCAAAGGCTTCTGAATGAACTCTTACTCACCAACAATCCTTGCTGTCCTGGAATTCCTGGATTTCCTGGGAATCCTCTTTCACCCTGGAGATGAAATTATGCAAGATAATGGTAACAAACATTCATCAGTTCGTCAGACATATTTTATTACATCATATTTTTATTAGTACTCTTTGACAGACATGGTATTGGCTACCTTTGTCCCGTTACAACCCGGCACTCCTCTTGGGCCCGGAGGCCCGTCTTGTCCTGGGAGACCCTGAAGAGAAGTAGACAGGAAGTTTAATCACATTGGCTAGTTTGACAGGAAATCAGCAGCCTATGAATCGTTTCAGATTTTTCTTATAAACTCACAGGTTGTCCTGGTAGTCCTGGGAATCCTGGCATTCCTGGAGGACCCTGTTGGAAGAAAATATAGAAAATAAGTGGGTTCATCTAAAGAATAGGGAGTGGGGGATCCAGCACAGTTTGTTTCTTTATAATTGCTAGAAAGAGAAGGAAATAAAGACCTCTGCTGGCCACTAGGTGGTATTACAACTACAAAGCGGTAAAGTGCGTGGGAAAATTCAACCTTAATAAATAAAATGCAATTATCTATGTTTATCTTTAAATATTTTGAATTTACAATAAAAATTATATTTCCATAACTGAAAGTAAACATTTCAATATCGTCTAGTCTTCTAGTTTAGTTTAATTTGGACTAAATTTCACTTGAAAGACTAACTGAATTACTCACTCGTATTCCTTTTGGACCCCCTGGTCCAAGAGGTCCATCACTTCCCTATGAGGCAAAAGACACAAAAGCAGAAAGCAACAATAATTGGGTATGTTGTTGTGGAAGAATTGGTGTTATTTAATCAAATAATAAAAATAATTTCACTTATATTTTACATTATTATAAACATAACCCAAAAAATTGTCCAAGCATAAAATTAACTATTTTATAAAAGAAAACAGCAACACAATTTAGAAGTGAATGATAATGCAGTGTATTGATTATTATATTGATATTAATTTGAAATGGTAAATAAATGTTGAATGATTGAACTAATATTTCTGAAGTGCATCATTTTTATTTCAAAAATAAAATATGGGATATTTTTCCAACTTGTGGTAATATTTCTTGAATGAACTGTTTTCAAACAAACACAAGTCAGAACTGCAGGCAGGTCAGTTCTGCACCTGGACTTTATTTAACCTCTTAAGAGATTTTTGTGTCAGATTCACATCAAATCCCTTCTGGTGCTCAGGAGTATTAGGATTAGTACATTCATTATAAACAAGCCGTACATAGTCCAATGCATGTCTACTGCCCTCTGGTGGAGGAGCTACTGGTGCCAAATGGTCAATTTTAATTATTTATTCCTAATATGAGACAAAAACCCAAGTTAGAAATCTTGGTGTCATAACTGATTCAGACCTGAGCTTCTCTGGTTACATGAAGGCTATAACTAGATCAGCGGTGTATCATCTTCAGCAAATAGCATGACTCAGGGGTCTCATGTCCAGACAAGACCTAGAGAAACTCATTCATGTGTTCATCAACAGCAAGCTGGACTACTGAAATGGTCTTTTGTCTGGTCTTCCCAAAAAAGCTGTGAACAACTGCAGCTTACTCTGAATGCTGCTGCTAGAGTCTTAACAAGAACCAAGAGAACCGAGCACACCACTCCTGTTCTTAAATCTCTACACTGGTTACCAGTAAACTACAGAATCTATTTCAAAGTACTTCTGCTAGTTTATAAATCACTCAGTGGTATGGGACCAGAATACATGTCAGATGTCCTTCAGGTATATACGCCCAGCAGTGCTCTGAGATCCTTGGGAAGCGGTCAGCTGGTAGAACCTCGGGTCAGAACCAAACAGGGTGAAGCTGCTTTTAGCTACTATGCTGTTCACATATGGAATCAGCTCCCTCATGACATCAAATATTTGCCAACTTTGGTAACTTTTAAATCAAAACTGAAAACCTTCATGTATTTATCTGCCTTTGAATGAATGTTTCTTACCCTTTAACTCACCCTTTAACTTTGTCTTTCTATTTTATTTCATAAATCTAAATTTAATTTGTGTATGTTTTAACTGTGCTGTCACATAGATTTTAATGTTCTTGCTACTCTTGCTAATGGAAAGCACATTGAATTGCCTCTGTGTATGAAATGTGCTATAAAAATAAAGCTGCCTTGCCTTGCCTATAGAGTTATTGTTATAGCATTACACATTAAAATGAAGTAATTTTAAAGTTGTATGCAAATTTGTGACAATAGTTCTACCATTATGTTACATTTTTATGAAATTGAAAGAATTTATTAGCCACACATTAATGACAAAATAATTTTGTATGTAAATGTTGGTATTGGCTGTAGACAAACCCAAAAACGATTTACCGTATAAGTGATAGACGTAATTAAACACAAATTTAACACAACCAGTGATTCTAACTAAACCAAGATCAGTCCTTCTTAAACGCAGCTTTACTAAACTTTCGGGACTTCTTTCACCTTTAAGCATCAAACGGAACCCACCTTCTCTCCTCTGGGTCCGATAGGTCCTTCAGGTCCGGGGAACCCTGGGACACCCGGCTGGCCGGTGAGACCCGGTAGACCCCTCTCACCCTGTAAGCAGACACAGGGTAATTGGATGAGAAATCACAGCTGGGATCAAATTAATGTTGCTTCTATTTAAGAGTTTCACAACGAATCAGATCTGATCATAATATATAATATTACAAAACAAAAATTACATTTGAATGTTAGACTATAACTTTTGTTATATAGTGCAATAATGTCAAAACGTATTGCAACTTGAAAATGATGCTGTAAAAACCTAAAATATCGTGTTAAAAAATAAAATAAAAAGTTGTAAAAATGCACTGTTTGTAGAATGACATAGTGCGATTCAACTTAGTTTTGACATCAGTCTGCTTCCATAAGGAAACAAATTCAGTCTGCTGGGTCTGTGAATTTGACCAAAAGAAGGAATGTAATTAGTTATTTGAATCCCACAACAACTTTGAGAATAAATTCTATCAACAATGTACGTTAATATTTTCAGTTAACTGGACACAGCACACCGTCAGGAATATGAGGCCTTATTTACCGTATTTACCCGAATATAGGACGACCCCTATTGTAAGACGACCCCCCTTTTTGCATAATTGTTAATAAAAAAAAAACCGTCCTATATTCGGGTAATTACGGTATTTATATTGCGTACAATGCTTAACGTAACTTTTTAAATAACATGCATATTTTATTCTAATAGTTAAAAAATATATTTTTTTAGCAAGAGAGACATTTAAAAAAATGTGCTGATTTCTGTTTCTCTGATTTAAATGGCAGTTGGTGGATTTGTTATGATGTTTTCAGCCATTAATTGACAACATTTCTTTCCCCATTTAATGTTCAATTATATTGATACACAGAAATATCGCAATATTTTGTTTAACAATACTGTATTTGTATTTAAAAGATGTGCATTCCCTTTTTAAACGATAACCAAGGGGGAGTCATTTATTGAAAATTGTGAAGCCAACACGAAAGTGACAAAAATTGCGGTTCCATCCTCATCCACTAGGGGCTGGCAGCAAAAGTGAGCAAATCCTCATTGACACCCATGTTAAAAATACCAATTTCACAGCAGAAATAAACATGTTTACAGCCTGGTTCAAAAACCATCTTAGGTTTAATAGATCTAGTTTACTTTCATGACAACTCTGAGGGGAGATCATTTTTTTTAAACTCTTCCGTTTAGGCATAATTAAATGCTAGATATTATGAATGATTAGATTAGATTGCCAGGTAGCAGGAGCGTCAGAGGCAGAACTAGCAGCTAGCTCCGGGTAAGGCCTCAGCCTGGGACTCACGTTAATTGATGTCCGGCCATTTCCACTCTCAGAACTTTAGCTGTGTCCTCTGTGTGATCAAGTTTGGATGTTTATTAAGGTATTATTTGGTAAGAGATCATCCAAGAAGTCTCTGCTTCTTTTTATCAGTAAGTAAAATTATATTTCTGTACTTTATCTTGCTGGGTGAATGGGGGAAACACTTTGGTAGTCCACTGTGCTCAAAGATCTACAAGATCACCACTGCAGAAGCAAAGTTTGTCGAGTTTTGGTACTGTCTCTCCCTTTAACAGCGGTGGACCTGCGATCAGAGATCTACGAATCTGCTGCTCCATCCTCCCAGAGGCAGTCCAGTAATGCAGGTGCCCGGCTTTTCCTGTCTCCCAGCCGGAAACAGTTACTGGACACAGCGACCATCTGCTCCTGTCCCTCGGACCAGCAGAGCCGCGCAGCTGCCTGGCTTCCATGCAGGACTGTAGTCGTGCTGGTCACCTGTGGAGTTCTCTGAGGAACACTACAGAAATACTGCAGCTCTTTGAGCTGATGCTGCTTCACTTTGGCATCACTCACTCACGTTTTTCTCGCAAAAAGTGCCCAAAACCTCTATTAGCTTTGGTAGCTTGTAGCTAACCTAGTTGGCTCCAAGCACCATGTAGCTTTGGGTTAGCATGTAGCTAATATCTCGCTGATCTCCAATGGTGGCGGAGGAGTGGAGCATGAGCTCATGTATGCAGCCCAGGTGCCTGGCTCTGATCGCAGCAGTCTGAGGCTGTGCTTGTATTTTAACATTCAACATTTAGCTCCGTGTTAGTTCAGAGCTACATATGTTCAGAGTTTATGGCTGTCAATCATTTGCTCCCTCTCTCACAGCCCTGTTCTCAGCTCCACCTCTTTTCCCAATTTTGGACTGTCTGGGCGTAACGAGACATGTGACACGGCCAAAATAGCAGCGGTGGGAATCGCCTTTTGAATCGGCCTGAGTTTTCCAAACAAATTCAGTCTTAAAAGGTGATAAAATCTTCTGATTTTAGTATGACAATGTATCGTATCGTCTCCCCTTCTGGCCGGCTCGTGGGTTCTCGGCAAAAAGAAAAAATGAATGGAAGTGAATGGGCAATAAGATCTATTTTCTAATCATCTTTGCCTTATACTCTTAATCACACATGTGTTGTACTTGAATTTAAATGTTAAATAATTATGTTTGTTTTGAGTACAAATATGGCGTCACCAAAGAATCTATTCTTCCACCGCATAGCTGCTATTTACCACATGGTCAGATTTATGGTGCTTTTCTCCACATTTAATATGGGATTAAAAGCTCGCTATACTCACAGCCATTTCTCCTCTCCAGCTAAGTGTCAAATTTGTTCACCTCAATTTGATGAGACCAACATTCGTAGTCTGTTATGTCTTTTCATTCAATACCTAAACTAACTTTAGTTGCAGTTTGAAAAGAAGTGCTCCCTTGGCATCAGAACACATCTTTAAAATTCACAAACATCATATATTAAATCTATGGGACATATCAAACTGGTTTAGAAAATGACTTTTATGCCTCCATAGACTCGTTCTTTTTTTCAGCCAGTTAGGTACCATGGTCCAGAAGTAGACTTAGGCTTCCTATTGCTGACAACATCAGGCAATTATGTCGATTACCAAAATCGTCAAAAAGTACAAATGTAAAAATCAAGATAATCCATGATTTTTTGAAGGTTTGGCTTTCAGAACTGCTGTACCTTCCCTGCTATGTCTGCTTTATGCCCTTGAAGCACATAGTGGCATTTAGGGTCAGCTGTGTCTTTGCCGGGAAAAACGCCTAAACAATCACGTCAGGCCGATGTCTGTACCAGATGTGCTCGGGGTACTGCATCTGCTAATTACGTCACAGTAGATGATTGGCCGAATGTAAGACATACGGAGGTTACTATACCACGTTAGTAAAAGTTATGTTAGCACCTTAGCATGCTGACAATGATGATTTTGATTGGTTAGAACAAATTTACAGTTGTAGTCTTTGCGATTGTAGTCCTGTAGTCCAAAATAAACACTTTTTGAAGAAAATGTGTTTGAATTTCCAAAGGAAATGTTAAATAAAAGCAAAGATATCAACTGATAAACGGTGACCCTCAAAAACTCTTGATTTTGATGAAACAGGGCAAAATAAAATATATGAACTTTATTGAAAAGCCACCAAGCAATATTGTGAAAGAAAGAAAGAAAGAAAGAAAGAAAGAAAGAAAGAAAGAAAGAAAGAAAGAAAGAAAGAAAGAAAGAAAGAAAGAAAGAAAGAAAGAAAGAAAGAAAGAAAGAAAGAAAGAAAGAAAGAAAGAAAGAAAGAAGTTGTATTTGCATAACTAAGGATATACAGGTCCTTCTCAAAAACATTAGCATGTTGTGATAAAGGTCATTATTGTCTGTAATGTACTGATAAACATTAGACTTATATATATATATTAGATTCATTACACACAACTGAAGTAGTTCAAGCCTTTTATTGTTTCTAATATTGATGATTTTGTCATACAGCTCATGAAAACCCAAAATTCCTATCTCAAAAAATTAGCATATCATGAAAAGGTTCTCTAAGCGAGCTTTTAACGTAACCATCTGAATCAACTAATTAACTGTTTTATTAACACACAACAATACAACAGGAGCAAGCTATCACTGCTTCAACCTGATGAGGAAATATAAAATCAACATTGTTTTACTGAACAATCAAACAATGAAAAATCACAGTGCATTAAGTGCCAACCACAGCCTCAAGACATGTGTTGAACGTGCCCAATTCCATATTTATGAGAGCACCATGTGAGCACCTGTGTGCGTACCTGCGCTTGTTTATGTAAGGTTTCTCTAGGTGCATCCAATAGAGAGTGTGAGGGGCCACAGATCTGCCCCCCAAAGATGCGTAGGAGATGGAAGGAGCTCCAAGTCTCAGAGATCCAGGCGCTGCCCCAGAGTGCAGGGACCCCAGGGAGACTGCAACCAGAAAAGACGCTGTTCCCTTCAAGAGGCACAGAGGATCGCCCCGAGGGGCCACAACCAGCAGCCGGCAGAGTCCTGGGGGATATCAGCAGCAAACCCACTGTTGCTCAGTGGTCCAAAGTACTTTTTTTGGATGAAAGCAAATTTTGCATGCCATTCCTAAATCAAGGTGCCAGAGTCTGGAGGAAGACTGGGCAGAGGGAAATGCCAAAATGCCTGAAGTCCAGTGTCAAGTACCTACAGTCAGTGATGGTCTGCGGTGCCATGTCAGCTGCTGGTGCTGGTCCACTGTGTTTTATCAAGGGCAGGGTCAATGCAGCTAGCTATCAAGAGATTTTGGAGCACTTCATGCTTCCATCTGCTGAAAAGCTTTATGGAGATGAAGATTTCATTTTTCAGCACGACGTGGCACCTGCTCAGTGCCAAAACCACTGGTAAATGGTTTACTGACCATGGTATTACTGTGCTCAATTGGCCTGCCAACTCTCCTGACCTGAACCCCATAGAGAATCTGTGGGATATTGTGAAGAGAAAGTTGAGAGACACAAGACCCAACACTCTGGATGAGCTTAAGGCTGCTATCGAAGCATCCTGGGCCTCCATAACACCTCAGCAGTGCCACAGGCTGATTGCCTCCATGCCACGCCGCATTGAAGCAGTCATTTCTGCAAAAGGATTCCCGACCAAGTATTGAGTGCATAACTGAACATAATTATTTGAAGGTTGACTTTTTTTGTATTAAAAACACTTTAATTGGTCAGATGGAATATGCTATTTTTATGAGATAGGAATTTTGGGTTTTCATGAGCTGTATGCCACAATCATCAATATTAGAAACAATAAAAAGGCTTGAACTACTTCAGTTGTGTGTAATGATTCTAATATTTATGAAAGTCTAATGTTTATCAGTACATTACAGAAAATAATTAACTTCATCACAATATGCAAATTTTTTGAGAAGGACCTGTATACAGAAAAATTCCACATTAATAAAAACAGATACAGCTTCACATAAAAGAACTGTTGTTTTTGGCAATCTGAAGTTGGTTTTATGCAGTTTCACATTCTTTACAAAACAAAGATAATGTGGTGTTTTATTAACAAATTACAATTATAAAAAAAAACTTTAGGTGTTAACAAACAAGAATTTATCAACAAAACTGCTGATGTCTTTCCAAAGCATAAGCGTGAAAGCCGAGTGGATTTGCCAGAATGTGACGTCATCAGCAGGCGCAGGACCCCGAGCAGATCTGGTACCGACACCGCCACTGGAGCTCAAAAGTTTGGGAGCATTTTATTAAAAGTAAAATAAGTATGTTATGCGTTTATATAATGTCACAAACACAACCATTCTCTTTTATGATCCTATCTTTCAGTGTTAAAAAGCACTGCTCTTCAGTAGATGACTTTATTATCTACGCTGTAACCAAATAGTTCAACTTCTCATAAATAACATATAAATAGATAATGATCATAAAATGTGTTAATAAGTGTAAAACACATTAAATCCATCAAACAAGGGTAGTCTGGTAGTGTCTGAACCAGAGTTCTGTTGTATAGTTGAAGTTTTAGTAATTACTTATGTTTATTTTTATGTCTGCAACACAAATTCACCAGGAAAACTGGGATGTTATTATCAGAAAGTGTTCTGCACAAACATAGATGCAAACATTAGTTTTATTGCGCTAAAGTACTTTAACGTTCCACATTGCACACACATACCTTGGCTCCTTTTACTCCACTGCAGTCACATTTGGAACCCGCACATCCATGACAAGCCTGATGAGGAACAGAAGACAAAATAACCTTAATCTCTAGATATGTATGATTAGATGTACATTTAAATACCACCACAACAAAATGAAAGACCTTTACTATCTGTTAAGATGCTTTGGAAAACAAAGAGGTTCTGCACATGCCGCAATCCCACCACTAGAGGGCACTCTAGCATCACTCTGATGCTTTTCTTCTTCTCCACTCATCACATTTTTCCCACAGATGAGGATTCCCCATCAGGTTGATTTGATAACTGTAGAATAAGGTCGAGGAGACCCAAACATCAGACTAATCTCAAGAAAAAAAAAATCACCTGTTTTTGCCAAAAGCTAGCCGTTTCAGGGGAGTGAGAAGACCGCTGTAGGGTTAAAGAAGAGCTGAGAGGAGTAGAGGGAGTGCCCAGCTGCTGATTAAATTTTCCCATGCTCTGTTGATACAACAGATGCCAGACGGGCATCAGATGCATGCATGCCAGGCAGCCAGGTTGTGAGAAAGACTCAGAGAAAGGACAGATAGACTCAGCAGCCGGCATTCTTTTGTGTCTGCATCGTTCAGGAATTTTGGATGGCTTTTGAGGGTTTAAATTCACAAAAATAGGTTTTAAGACATCCAAACAAGTTTGTATAGAACCAAAACTAATCCTAATACTCATAAATGTATTATTTTTCTCCCGATGTGGATGTATTGTCATTCACATGCCCTTGCAAGCATCAGATGGAATGATAACAAGACCAAAGGAGGAGATAGAGGCCACTGATGTGGCATTGCACAAAGTCCAACACCACAAAACTGAACTCCAGAGATCTAGTGGGCATCAGAACCATTATCCCATCAGTGAGATACCTCCCAGTGATGAACTGCTACAGATATATCAGACAGCAGAACCCCTGTGTGGGACAAACCGCTACGGAGGAGGCGGTGATAGATGCAGCTTAAGAAACATCAAGGATCTGGAATGTCAAGGTCTCATCGGAATCCTGAGGGGGGCTTGAGTAGATCCCAGAGATCCCAGGAAAAGGCTCA